GCCCCTACGTGGCAACTACAGAACCGGTAAGTCAACCCTGTGAGGACTTTTTCCAAGGGGACTTGAGCAAGGCAGTAGGCAGGTTAATACAGGTGCAAAGGATCACAAAAGTAGTGCTGGAGGCAGGGTAAAATCTACATTACGTTGGTGTACTGGCTTCGAACCGACCGGAAACCAGCAAGGAGTGGGCCGGAGGCTTGTATATTCGCAAAGTAGGGGACCGAAAACCGGCCGATGGGCAAGCCTGAAGTAGGTAGGATTAGATAAGGACATCAGCATACATCAGTGCATTGGGACACGCGCACACACACATGAGTGTGCTGACACACATGCAAATGTCTGTGCTGATACATGGATACTGATCGGGGTTGCAAAATCAATCTTATGCGAGTTTCCCACATGCAGGCAGAAGCTGACAGACAGGCAGGCAGGCGGACACTCGTAACAGCGTTTGCATTTTCTGTAGTCTCATAGGTTCAAAGTGATGACGAGTGATGCATGAAAGACGGAATATGTTGAAGTGATTGCAGATACGTCATTATGTCTCTTCACCTAATTCAAAAACCCGATAAACCCTAAACCTCTGAACCCTAAAGACCCTAAACCCCTACGCAGCCTTAAACCCTAAACCCCCAACCCTGTAACCCTAAGCCCTATCACCTTGAAGCCAAAGCTACACTCCGGAGTCTCAAGGGTGCGAGAGTCCAAGACTGAGGGAACTTATGGAAAGCTACCTTCTTGGGTTTGAGGCTTCCGGGTTTAAGGGTTTCAGCACGTGGGTTTGGTTCAGGGATCGGAAAGCGGTTCCCAAGAACAGGATCTGAAAGGAAGGCCTGGAGTCCGTGGTTCCTGTTACCAGGGCCGTTCCCGAGCCTGTTACGGGAAGCGGGCTGTTCTTGTTACGGCCTCCAGCATTGTTCCAGTTATCGGTGCCTGTTGCGGACAGCCTGTTCCCGTTGCGGAAAATACCGAGGATCCCGTGTGTATTCAGCGTCCCTGCTGCAGGTGATCTAATCTCAAGGCTCGGCCTCGTCGGACTCAAAAGTCTTCCCGTTGTCAAACGAAAACGTTTCAATTGAAGCAATTGGACACTGCGTGGCCAGGACTTTCCAAGCACCTTTAAGCTCGTCCTGTGCTACTCAACATTGGACCTCACTTAGAAGCCTGGTGGCATGCCGGTCCGAAGCTAAAGATGCATCTTTTCAGCTGTTTTCTGCGGAGCTACTGCAGATGAAGCATCCAAGGTCACACGCGCATCAGGGCCCCAACTCTTGCAACCATGGCACGGTGTCGATGCAAGCTCATCTTTAAGTTCCGGCGATATTCTGTGAGTGATGACCTCGGCTTCAATACACACACACACACACAGAGAGACAAAACAAAACACGGAGGCCACCTCGCAACCTGGCTCATAGAAGCTGCTGAGGCCTTCCGCTGCAGCGCATCGCACCCTGCTTTTCTCCGTTCCACAAGGCTTCACTCGAACTCGCCTGGCGCTGTGAGCGCCACCTTGACAATTACATACAACCGTGTCTGGATGCCGGTTCACTGAGGCACTGAGGCAAGCGCTGCTCCATTGTCAGGATCGGGCTTCGGCCTCGGGATTTGCCAAGCTTACGCCCTCTGGTCCAAGCGCAGTCCCAGCGCCTCCATGGCCAGCTGCCTTAGGTTTTTGCTAACCGTTTAAAGACTCTTCTCAAAAAAAAAGAGCCGAGCGGCATCCACTGGCCGGTTCTGTAGAAGCAGGCCACGGGCAACTGGCAGACGGCTGATCCCTATCCCTCGCTGCCACAACCCTAGCCCACGCAGAGCCTGGCAGCACCACCACCGCCAGGGCGGCAACGGGGAGGCCCAGGAAGCGCATGCCGCGCGCGCTGCGCGCTGCGCGCCGCCCCGCGCCCAGCTGTCGAGCCACAAGGCCAGCAGAAGGTGATGGAGAAAACAGAGCACTCAATTCTTGAAGATTCCTCAGCCTTCCTCGAGGAACTGAGCGCTGGCACTGCTAAGCATCTTCGAGACTTCGCCCACTTTTGGGAAGTCACTATGTCATGCCGACAAGCCATGTTGACTTTTCGGAGAAACCTATCCCGGGAGGAACAAGCGGCTTTGTCCCAGCACTGCTTTATGCACATGTGCCTCAGCAGATAGCACAGGAGCAGAAAGGAGCAGCACGGAACAACACTGAACAGCACACCGTCTGCCAAGCGATCCCTCAAGCTGCCTTCGGCTGGCATATGCAGTCGACCAAGCCATCAACGAGTGTGTCAGTGGAAACTCGCTGCGAAGATGCACCACAAAGCCTTGCACGACAAAAATGCACGAAGCTCACGAGTTCGGCTTGTTTGAGACCAGGTGCGCGAAAAGCTCATCTATGTCCGCCTCCGTCAGGCCACCATCGTGGCCTATCGCTTGGCAGCATTGACGAGAAATGTAAAGTTCGAAGGTCCTGTCGCCAGCTGCTTCAGTCGGTCCTGCAGGGCGGATTGCGGACAGACATGGGCAGAAGATATCGGAGAAAACGGGGAGGGTCCTTCGTGCATGAGCTCTGGGAGCCAAGAGTCTTGAAGGCGGCCCTCAATGCCTCGAAACTGCAGCGAGGCAGCCAGGCTCAGCCTTGACTCAACTCCAACTCCGATGCCTCCGGATTTGGCCCACAGAGATCCTTCGAGCGAAACGGGCAATGCACTGCAGCTTAAGACCATGCCCAGGCCAAGGACGCCCGCAGGTGCAGTTTGGATGCGGCGGCGGTGGAGTGGGATGGAGTGGGTACGCATTGCCGTGGGGCCCGCATTCATAAATGCCCAGCAGGAGGACACCCCAGCATAAGCCACCCGTAAGCCATTCCGTCAGCCTGCGATATCCCTTCTATCTCAGCCTCACGTTGCGCACAGATTGGCCCAGCCAGACGCCCAGCCGCGCCTCACCAAGGTCAGCCACTTCAAGCAGCTTGGGCAGTGCCTCGGGAAACGTTCTTGTGCTTACGTAAAGCGAGCAAAGGACGGGGGATCCCGACCCACTTCCTGCAATGTAGACTTGAATCCTCCGGCAGTCCATGGATCACGGCAGGTAGCGGGTACAATCTTGAGGTGAGAAGACATTTCAATGTCAGCGAAGCAGAAGTGTATTTGGTGAGCCTGAAGAACGAAATCCGACAAACTTGGCACCAGTTCCGCTCTTCGTGCGTCCTCTGTGGATACCCCTGCGGCCTGGAACAGGCGTTGCCAGACTTGACAGCTTTTGCAGACACACACTCTTCCACCAACCTCTTCCAACAAAGCATCGAAGGCTGCATCTGTTAGACACCAGCCAAGACCTAGGTATAGCAGTGGCATGCAGTGGCTCTCCGGCTGGTGCACAACTCGCTCATGCGAGCAGCCAAGTAATAGTAGCAGTAGTGGTAGCAGCAGCAGCAGCAGCAGCAGCAGCAGCAGCAGGAGTAGTAGTAGTGGTAGTAGCAGCAGCAGCAGCAGGAGTGGTAGTAGCAGGAGCAGTCGTCGTTGTTGTCGTCGTCTTAGTAGTATAGAGCGTCTTTCCTTGATAAGGCTCAATTGACACCCAAACTGGCATTAGCCCAGGTATCATGTAGCTAAAGGAGCAAAGCTCAGTCCGGTTCTGACTCGGCCTGTTCAATACCCGGAGTCTCTGCTTTCATGTCGTCGGGGCGCTGAGCTTTGCGAATTCGTTTTTTATGCACTGCTCCTCGGGTGAGTGCAGAGGTGCCGCTGCCCCGAGCGCTTTGGCTCGCACGCCGTCAGCACTGGGGCGAACTCTCCGAAGTTTCAGAGCGTCACAGCTGCAGCTGTGCCTCAAATACTTCAGTGCTTCGCGACCTCGTACTTCATGTCGCTTTCCTTGCCCCTGCTGCAAAATGCATGAGGCTGCATACTCCGGAACGCACAACCAACGTCTCAGTTGAAGCCTTTGCTTCTGCTCTTGGCCTCGCATATGCGACAACGGCTTGGGATTTTCAGGGTCTGAACGCACTCACACACAGCAACCCAAGCCTTCTTCGCTCGGAGATTTTTGCCCGCCTGCTTCAGCATCTTATTTTGGCTTTCACGAGAACGGCGCATGCGGCGAGGCTTGTTTGCAAGGTACTCGGCAGCCATCTGCATTGGCTGCCGCAAAGCTCCTTTGCCTCCTTCAGTCCCCTGCTGAACTTTGGCGAAGAACTGCTGAATGGAACCAAAATCGCTCAAGAATGTTTTGGCAACTTGCGGTTCCATTCCAGCCTGTGCAGCCACCCTAGCAATGCGGTCCTGCGCGTTTGTGCCTTTGAACAATTCCGGATTTCGTCGTTCCTCCAGGGTCATTGCCAGAATAATTTTTTCATAGCCAGTTGGCAGCGCACCCAGTGGACCGGCATCTGATGGAGTCGTCATGACCATTGAGGTTGCAACGAAGTCTTCGAAGTTCATTTGTCCGGCCGATACCCTTGCTCCCACGACCTCCGCTGGATCGACTGCCATGTCCGACACAATCTTGTCAAGAGCTGTTTGGGCAAGCGGTTCTTGCACTTGCGGTACTTCGGGGTCCCGGATTGTAGGGGCTGCAAGAGCTTGCTCACCTTGGTCACCTTGAGCCCAGTCAGGGGCCGACTCTTGGCCAAAGGCTGCTCGGCCTTGACGACCACGTTGACCACGAGGAATTGCACCGAAACAGTTCGCTGCAATTGCCGGCCTTGAGGAAACGGGCTGCAACTGCAACTCAGTGCGTTTACCCATATCTACGGTGCTCATGCAGAAAGTGTCAACACAAGTCGGGCGACTCCAGCGAGTTCCCTGTCACTTGGCTGTCACAGATCGTACAGCTTATGGCACTCAAAGCGAGGCAGTTCTGGGGCCTTCAGGGCTAGTAGACGCGCAATGGCTAACCACCTGCCCTCGATGTACAGATTTACATTTACGCGGTCGGGGGGTGAATGTTGGAAGCTTGGAAAACATCATGCCGAAAGTGCCACGCCTGCCATGCTAAACAGGATTTCCTTTTGGTTTGATGGCATTTGTTTTTGCGTTCAGCCTTGAGGTTCTCAGTCGATTATATAAGGTAGGAGTATGTGGACACTCTGATATGAAGTCCAATCGCGTCACGGCCTCGTCCCTTTCGAGTTTTTGGTTGTGGTGTGCTAGTTAGGGTTCGGTCGGACTGTTGCGTCCCAACCGCACACCTGATCAAGCTCAGTAACATTTGGAGTGTTGTGCTGATTCTACAGTGTGTTGTACAAAGAGGCGAAGACGCTGTAAACTGTAATCTTGAGAGCAGAGCGGACCAAAGCGGGCGGCGTGAATGATGCAGTGCTCCGTATATGTTGTGTTGCCAACTGGTAGGTAAGCGGCTATCCAACCAAGTTTAAAGAAAAGAGATGCGGTGTCACAAACCCTAAGCCTGCGGTCAACGACGCATGGCAATGCTCGTTTCAACAGTTCGGGAAACCGTAACAACTCTGAAACGCTCGTTCGCCATCCTAAAAACTCGATCGATGCTTGTGCCTGTCAGCAACGAGTCGGAAAGAAGCCGTGAAAGTGAAACTGTCTTAGGCCAATGCTATACTGCTGTGCTACACTGCGGCTATGTTCCCACATCATGGCGGGTCTTCTGCCTGTTGTACTGACCCCATCAGGGCGGCCAAGGGGAGGTAAAACCAAACCTGTAAACAACCACTCCTGCAAGCAGCTCCAACGGAGCTAGCTTTTGTCATAGTGTTCGATTCTGGGTAGCACTGTCATCATTACAACCGTCTGACTGATCTCAGTCGTCTTGTTAGTTATGTCTTTACTTTTTCTACGTTGTATTTCTGTTGTTTCCCCTTTCTTCCTGCACTGAGCGATGTTCATGTCTTGATCGATCTGGCTGTGTTTTACCATCTCAGTTCGCTATTCATGGTTTTTTTTAATGTCTATATCGCTATGTGTTTCGCTACTTATTTGTTCTGTAGCTCTTTCTCTGTCGTTCGTTCTTTGTTGCGTTTTTTATTTCTTTCTGTCTTTCCTTTTGTCGGGGGGTAGCAATGCCTGTTCATATAGCGGCCATGCCCAAAACACTGGTATTCATGGCGGTCTGCATTTTCGGACAACATGCTTAAGGTTCTCGCTTCCCCCACTCACCCCACCCACCCACCCCTCCCACAAGTCCGAGCACAGACACTTGGAAAATTGAGGTCGGTCATCGTTCTGATTGCGGAATATCTGTTGCCAAGATGTAACGACAACTTGAGCCATCAAACAGCTTGACGTGAATTCGAAACGGATGGAACTTGAGGGCCAGGGGCATGGAGAACGAAAGCTCGGTCTTTTTTCGCAAGCGGGTCTGGCGGCGGCCACGCAGGAGGTCCTGCAGCAGCGAGGTTCGTGAGAGTCATGTGACTGTTACCGCGGAAGCTGAGGACTGAAATCGTGAAGTACGTGAAAGCAAGTCGGGCAGTAAGGAGCTGTGTCTTAGGCGGGTGCAGAGGCACTTGTAGTCGCAATGTTTGGGTTTTTCAGCGTTTGCCGCGGCTGCAAGGCGTAGTGGTAGAAATGAGGGTTTCATGGCGGCCACTAGTTGCAGCGGTACCTTTGATCGACCCTTGCCGCGGCAGGCGGCGGCGGCAAGCATGAACCTGAGCCGGGGGTGTTGTTGAGGAACTTCTACAAGGGCAGGATGCGTACGAGAGCGTAGCACAGCAGGATGCGTCTTTCGCATGTAGCATGTTGGAGGAGGCAGTCATTCTCGTTTCAAGGCTTCGGCGGGCAGCACGTGAGCTGTGCGAAGTTGAATTGCACAGGCTCGGCACGAACGCGTCGTGGTTTGCGCAACACGCCTGTGTCGAGTGCTTTCAGCACCTGCACAAGTTTGCAGGTGTTGAGTTGTACGGTCCTGAGGCTGCAATACCGATGTGCGGGAAGTGTCACCCGTGTCCATGTGCCGTCGCGTCCAGCAGCAACGTCGAAGTGGCTGGGTAGTAGATGTCGGGCCTGAGTTGAGATCTTGGCTACATTCTTTGTTGCGGTTCCTCCAGCAAGGCACGAGACGAAGGTGCGGGAATTGTTGCCCAGAAAGACAGGCGCTGCATCAGAGAACAGCAGTTCCCGGCCTATCAAGTTGGGGCATGTTTGCAGGAACTCAATGAGGTTGTTGGCGACGAAGTCGCCGGCACCTTTGATTGCTTTGCAAGTGCGGGCGTAGGCTGCAAGGTCGGATGTGAGGCCGGTTTGGAGCAGCCGGGATCGTCGTCGCAGCACCGAGGACATAGATGCATGCAGGCCTCGGAAACGTACATTTGTGCCTCCCGGGAAAGTCTGGTGACTCAGCATGGCGACGATGTAGGAAGCATAGAGCACTGCGGCGTCCTTCACAGCAAGTGGTCTCCAGTCATCGGTTCGGGGGCTGCGTTGACTGTGTTTTCGTGTGAGTTTGTCGAGCAGCAGTCGCTCCTCGGCTCTTCTTGCAGCGCGTTGGAAGGATGCTGTATTAGCGAAAGTCAGTCCGCGTGCGCTCAAGGACTCCAGGTCATCGGACGGTGCTCTCCTGCGGTTGTTTTTTTGCAGCTTTTTCTTCCAGGCCTTCCAGGCGGCAGCGACCTGAATGGCGTCTGCTGCCGTGGGCATGGACGGGGGAAGAGCAAAGTCAAGATGATGGCAGGTGCATGTTGTATTTGTACAGCGGCTGTGTAGAGTCTGGAGCGGTTTCGTGTGGAGGCTTGATGGAAATCGAGTTGCTAGTGTTGTACGGCGCCTGGTAGGCAGCCGGCGACCTGTTGAGCTCGGCGGCGACAGGCAAGGCATTGTTCATGACCAGGAGTGTTTCAGGGCTAGAGTGTCTGTGCTGTTATGTGGAAGGAACTTTACTTACCGGTATAAGGGACATATTGCAACAGCAACAAGAACAACCGCAACAATAGGCACAGTGTTTCGGCGTTAGGGTGTCTGTGTTTTCATGTGGGAGGAACTGTACGTACCGGTACAAGTAACATATGGCAACAGCAACAAGAACAATTGCAACAGTAGAGACAGCAGCAGGGCAGCAGGCGAGCAGCAACTGCAGCAGCGATAACAGCATCAGCAAGAACAAGCACAAGAAGAAGAAGAAGGGCAGCAAGGACAACAAGGACTAGAAGGACAACGAGGACAGTAACAGCTCAACAGCAAGATTTGATGAGCTTCGCATCCTCGCAGGTACGGTTGTAGACATTCAGTGTATTCACGCCGGCGTGGGGAGGCGAGGAAGATCAGCAGCAGCAACGCAGGAGCAGGAGCAAGAACTGAAGAAGCATTACAGGCGGCTGAGTTCGGCACTGCTGTTTGAAGATACATCGTCGCGAAGTTTGCAGTGAGGAAGTTGGCGTCCTGCAAGTTTGTTTTTGCTGGTTTCGAGGATGGGCTGACAGGGACACGGCGAATTTGTTTAGGAGGCAGGTGTTAGATGGAGTTGTGTGTTGTTTGCCGCCGCGGGTCGAGGGGATCATGTGCAAAGCCTAGTGTTCTGAAGTTGTTAACAGCACAGTCAAATGCAACTTTGCAGTTGCAGGTCGTAGGTGTGCAGTGTTTTGGCAGTGATGCACAAGCTGGCGGGTGAAGTAGTCTGTACGTTTTGAGCAGCAGCAGCAGCAGCAGCAGCAGCAGCAACGACACAACAACTGCAACAAGGGCGTAGGATGGCGTAGGGTTTAGGGTTTAGGGTGTAGGGTTCAGGGACAGTCGAGTAGCAGTTGCAGCAGCAACTGCAGGAGTAGGAGCAACAGCAGCAACAAGAGCAAGCAGGAACGGGTTTACGAGGCAATACTAGTACTTTCGTACGCATTCCCGAGTAGGGCCTACGTAGCAGGAGCATCGCTTGTCTACCCGGATTGTTTTTGTAGTTGACAGGGCAGACGCAGCAATACGTAGCAGGAGCTTGCTTGGGTTTAGTGTTCAGGGTTTAGGTTCAGGGTTTCCTGTTGTGTAAACAAGGAGTATGGAGACTACGTAACATGGCCAGCGTGGTGTGCGGGAGTGAACGACAACAACAACAACGACAACAACAACAACAGCAGCCAGTGCAAGAACAACAGCAGAAAATTTGCAAGTGGCTGGTATTCTTTTGTAGTAGTGTTTTCTGCCAAGTTTCTGGGTACGCCGGCTGGGTCATGGTTCTACATCCTGGCAGCCAGGGACGTTTACTCTGCAATTGTTAGAAACGACTTGGAGCCCGGCCATGATGGATTCTTCGGCAGTCATGCACTCATCGCACAGCAGTTTTGTCATACATGGGCAGCAATATGGATCGCAAGTGTGTAAGTGTGTGTGTGTGTGTTTG